AAAGCGAAAAAAGGCATTGCATTGTACTCCAGGCAGTGGTAGTGATGAGCTAATAGCCTGTTTTGTTTTTCAACTGCTATTCCTGCAACATGGTTGACTCAGTTGTGACATCCCTCCCATCTCTGATGAAGTGAAAGGAACGTGACATATGCGCACAACACAGAGAAACAAAGCAAGTGCCAGCAGGTATGTTAACAGGAAGTACACAAAAAAGACAAAAAAAGAGCTGGCATTCTAATAGGATTAGTTTTGTAAAAGCTGTTTCATGTCATTGAGATTCTTTGTTTCAATATGACGTGTCAAGTATCGTTAAAGTTTGGTTAGACCAGTTTTTCTTCATACAGAAATGATCTTCCAGAGATGCAGATGTAAAGTAGTAGCGCAACAGTATTTAGCGCGAGTTGTCAGCTGTTCATGGGGTTGGCAATTCCATCTCCCCTTTCTAACCCAAAAACACGACCTGATGCGTCCACCTGGATTTGCATGGATGCATCAGTGTGTGTAAAAATCTGCCTGTGGATGAGGCTGATAGTATAAAAAGTGCTGGATACAGTAAATTACAGTTAATTTACCTTGGAATCAACTATGACAATAGTTACAGCCAATATAACGCATAGCTGTACAATACAGTGGTGTAGACTCCCGATCACGTGAGGACCTTGATAAAGGTATAGTCATTGCATCAACAGGGACCAAGGCCATTTGGCCAAGGTCAGCAGTGGCTTCTCTCTGACTTGTATATCAACAAGACATTAAAAGCCTATTGTTCGGGACTAGAATGAGAGAGCATATTTCTCCCACACTAGCTTGATGATTCAGTAGACAGACACTCACTCTATCTTTAACACCATTAAAAATTACCGTTTTGATAAAGCTAATAATTAGGGCTGGATGAGGCATCCCTGAACCCTCCTGCTGTTATGCTGAAATAGAACTAGCATGCTGGGAGCGTCCCATGATTCACTGAGTGTTTCTTCTTCATCCAACTCTTTTCAATCTGGGTTTATGCATCACTTTGCATTTAATTATTAGTTATTATTATTATTATTAATCTCTGCCTCAGTTCAACTGTGTGTCTTTTGTCCTGTCTCCCTCCCAACCAGTCGCGGTGGATGGTTCGCCCCTCCCTGATCCTGGTTCCACCAGAGGTTTCGTAATGTTTCTTCCCACTGTTGCCAAATGCTTGCTCATAGGTTTTTTCTGACTGTTGGGGTTTTCTTTGTATTACTGTATTTTCTTTATCTTACACTTTAAAGCACCTTGAGGTGAGTGTGGTTGTAATTTGGTACTATATAACTAAAACTGACCTGAACCTGTGCTTGTGTCAGATGCCTCACAGTATGAAGGCTCTACGTTTTAACCTGTCCAAAGACTTGCTTGTCCGGTTAACTGGTGATTATGAAGTGGCTCCTTGATGTGACAATACAGGGAGTGCAGAATTATTAGGCAAGTTGTATTTTTGAGGAATAATTTTATTATTGAACAACAACCATGTTCTCAATGAACCCAAAAACTCATTAATATCAAAGCTGAATGTTTTTGGAAGTAGTTTTTAGTTTGTTTTTAGTTTTAGCTATTTTAGGGGGATATCTGTGTGTGCAGGTGACTATTACTATGCATAATTATTAGGCAACTTAACAAAAAACAAATATATACCCATTTCAATTATTTATTTTTACCAGTGAAACCAATATAACATCTCCACATTCACAAATATACATTTCTGACGTTCAAAAACAAATCCGTGACCAATATAGCCACCTTTCTTTGCAAGGACACTCAAAAGCCTGCCATCCATGGATTCTGTCAGTGTTTTGATCTGTTCACCATCAACATTGCGTGCAGCAGCAACCACAGCCTCCCAGACACTGTTCAGAGAGGTGTACTGTTTTCCCTCCTTGTAAATCTCACATTTGATGATGGACCACAGGTTCTCAATGGGGTTCAGATCAGGTGAACAAGGTGGCCATGTCATTAGTTTTTTTTTCTTTTATACCCTTTCTTGCCAGCCACGCTGTGGAGTACTTGGATGCGTGTGATGGAGCATTGTCCTGCATGGAAATCACGTTTTTCTTGAAGGATGCAGACTTCTTCCTGTACCACTGCTTGAAGAAGGTGTCTTCCAGAAACTGGCAGTAGGACTAGGAGTTGAGCTTGACTCCATCCTCAACCCGAAAAGGCCCCACAAGCTCATCTTTGATGATACCAGCCCAAACCAGTACTCCACCTCCACCTTGCTGGCGTCTGAGTCGGACTGGAGCTCTCTGCCCTTTACCAATCCAGCCACGGGCCCATCCATCTGGCCCATCAAGACTCACTCTCATTTCATCAGTCCATAAAACCTTAGAAAAACCAGTCTTGAGATATTTCTTGGCCCAGTCTTGACGTTTTCAGCTTGTGTGTCTTGTTCAGTGGTGGTCGTCTTTCAGCCTTTCTTACCTTGGCCATGTCTCTGAGTATTGCACACCTTGTACTTTTGGGCACTCCAGTGATGTTGCAGCTCTGAAATATGGCCAAACTGGTGGCAAGTGGCATCTTGGCAGCTGCACGCTTGACTTTTCTCAGTTCATGGGCAGTTATTTGGCGCCTTGGTTTTTCCACACGCTTCTTGCGACCCTGTTGACTATTTTGAATGAAACGCTTGATTGGTCGATGATCACGCTTCAGAAGCTTTGCAATTTTGAGACTGCTGCATCCCTCTGCAAGATATCTCACTGTTTTTGACTTTTCTGAGCCTGTCAAGTCCTTCTTTTGACCCATTTTGCCAAAGGAAAGGACGTTGCCTAATAATTATGCACACCTGATATAGGGTGTTGATGTCATTAGACCACACCCCTTCTCATTACAGAGATGCACATCACCTAATATGCTTAATTGGTAGTAGGCTTTCGAGCCTATACAGCTTGGAGTAAGACAACATGCATGAAGAGGATGATGTGGACAAAATACTCATTTGCCTAATAATTCTGCACTCCCTGTACATGTTTGGGGTGACCTCTCATCCAGTGTCTGGTTTAAAGTCTGTAGAACTGGATAGAGTTGAGCGTAAGATAAAGAAGCCTTTATGCATCAAATACATGAAGTCTGTTGAAATAATGTGAATATATTGGCAGCAGATGACTATCTGAACCTAACTGTATGCACCACAGTGCTGTCAGAGGCATAAACAGATCATCAATCTGCACCACACAGTGAAGCCGCAATTATTAGTGGACCACTGGAGCAACACATAACATATGTGTCATCTCAGTTATTTTGTTTTTTGTGAAACAGAGAAGCTCTGAAGAAGTTTTTGCATTATAAATTTTCCATTTCTAATACATCCACTCCCCTCCTGCAGATAAGGGACCACAGTGAGTTTCTGCACACTTACCTTCCAATCTAGACAATAATCTGCAACATTGCCTTTGAGACCTTCACAGAAGCGAAACAGGAGGCACCACACAAAAGACTGCAGATCATGATTTTCAAAAAGTGCTCCGCTGGGTAGGACAATATCAGACCTCAAAATGGTGAGAACTCACCAATAAGTACACTCTGCTAACACAAAGCTAACCAGACCAGCTGCATTCATTTATATTCATATTCACCAGACGGACATGAGGGTAAATCTTCTTAATATAAAATAAATCTTCTTACTCATCTCTCTGCATTTTCAGACACCCAAATAATTAGTTTGAGTTGACCTCCTTGGTGTAACAGTATGATATCTCTGTCTGCCATATTGTAAACGACGTATAAGAATAGCTTGGACATAATAGCTTAGCATGTCGATACCTAATAGAGAATGTGCATGGCATTTAAGGTTCTACTAAGATGACAAAATTGTGAATTTTAAACTCTTAAGATAATTTTGAATGTAGTAAAATCTATCTCTCATGTTTCCTTAGCATACTTTTAGGATAATACATGTAATAGATGCTGTGCATGTGCATGACATGTAATACAAAAGTATTTTACTGTGTATTTTACAGTTTTGTACTGTTTTTCTAGAATATCATTCAATTTACATAAATAGACTGTGATTTCACATTTCAAATGCAAATTAATGTAAAATCACTGTAAATGTAATAAAACATAATTTTCTTGTTTGTTAAATGTATTTGTCTGTACACATGCATATTTAGATATATAAAATGATTCTTATAAACTTTTTTTACATCAAATTATTATTATTATTATTGTTATTTGGGGCGATCGTGGCTCAAGAGTTGGCAGTTCACCTTGTAATCAGAAGGTTGCCGGTTCGAGCCCCGGCTCAGACACTCTCGGTCATTGTGTCCTTGGGCATGACGCTTCACCTACTGGTGATGGCCAGACGGGAATTGTAAAGCGCTTTGAAGGTCTCAAAAAGCTCTATATGAATGCAATCCATTATTATTTAAACCAACTGTTAACTGCATATTTCTGTACATTTAAGTATTATTATTCATATTGCCACATTCATTGACCTTGTTTATAGGTAATTTCATTGTTTAATCACATTAAAATGTTCCTAATTTAATGTTGAAGAAGCCAAAATCCCATGTGAAATTAGGGCAACAAACTGTATTGTCATTACTGAAAATAACTGTATTTTCATGGGAAAGTTATTTTTTGGTATTGTTTTGGCACCCCAGCTGCTGGAATATTACTGTTTTTTTAGGATTTTTTTTTTACGGTGTATGCAAAGCTGTGATGGTTTTAAGGATAAAGTCAGTTACAGGATAATTCCCATTTGGGGATGTAATGCTGCAGGTTTGTGCCAGCAGGATTACATCTCTTTATGTCGTAGGATGATGGTGTGTTATGTTCACTGTCAGACTGGTATTTTTTGGCTCACACTGCTGACACAAGTTACAGCACCATAGCAACATAACAACCCCCTGCAATGAAGCATAGTTATGATTTAATATGACTGCAGTATGTCTTGCATGTTTGTTTATGTAGGCCAGAGTCTGTGTTGTGGAGGATGAAATAATAGTTTCATATGAAAGGTTACAGAGATACAGTTATCTGCAGGAATTTGCACATCAGCAGCGATCGTGAACATTTATTAGCCTGCAGAGTAAAGGCATGTTCCATTTATTAGAGAGCACCACATAGTGTCAGTTTCATTCGAAAAGACAAATTAGAAAAAAATGGCTGAAGCAAATGCAAATGCACAGTGCACGTAGGAGGCACATTTACTGACAGGTGACATATAAACATGAGAACAAGCTTCTCTGACTTTGTCCTCACTCTCTTCAGACTGCATTTAGAGCTCATACACATACAGATACACATTAAAACCCCAAAGTGAAAGGCTAGCAAGTTTGGAAACTGTCTCATACAGTGGAGCGCTTTTAGTTAAGCCAAGCCTCCACACACAGGCTCAGCTGTTCAGCCTCTGTAGCTCAGAGGCTGCTCGGCTCCAAATATACAGATCAAAACAGCCTACAGCACAAGTTCTCCTTGTCCTCCTCCAAACCAGGAGAATCCAGAACCTCATTTTATACATACTGTATATATGTGTGTGTGTGTGTGTGTGTGTGTGTGTGTGTGTGTGTGTGTGTGTGTGTGTGTGTGTGTGTGTGTGTGTGTGTGTGTAATTATACATGCTTTTCTTGCATTGCTAATGTTTCTGAGTAACAATATTCGGTGTTAGTTCATTTCTGTGGATTGCTGAATACGCGATAACTGTTGATTTTACTGGTGCCTGTACAATAAACACTCTGATCTTGTGACGTGACACTAAAGCAAAACCAGCCTTAAACAAATAGGAGCAATACAAAAATGACACAAAGCTACTAAAACAGCAGCTGGCAGTACTCTTGAGGATTTCTATACATCTAATGGTTTGTTCACATGACGGGAGTTTATGGAGTGCCGTATCTTCGTGCAGTCCTTTTTCTTCCATGTCTTAGTGTCCATGTGTCGCCCACGAAGGGCACTATCTGGTCAGCCGGATCAACTGTTATCACTGCCTGCCAAATAGTGTCACAGCCTTTTCCAGGATAGCAACAGTTTATTTAGTGCGGTGCAGCCCAGCAGCACTTAGTCAGAGGGTAGATGAGCCTGTTTCTCCACAGAAGTGGAAAAATCACCCGTGCCAGCACACCAGCAGCTAAACACAGCTCTCCGACTGATATTTATCATAAATCCTGGACGGCATCTTCTTTGCTCTCACACTTCTTTGAAGAGTGTTAAAAGGAACTGTATAAACTCCCATAAAGTGCACCGACAGATGCACTTTATCCATAAATGCCTCGGTGCCGTTCACAAACCTCCGACTGCTTAAGCGAAGGTGACAGCTATCATCTTTTATGTATAAAAGATTCCCAGACACGTTCCTCAGCTAGGTTCTCATACAGAATTTGTGAGGGCTTGCTCTGCTGAGTCCGGCTTTAAAGTTGAGCCTGTTGCATTGCTGTCCATCATCATGCCAAGCTTCTCCGTCCCATTCCTTGGTTCCTCCCTTTGTCTGTCCCTTTGCAATCTCCTCCTACGACTGAGAAAGAAACAATCATGGCCAACAATCAAGAGCCAAGAGCTAATCATCAGTATGCAGCAGGCATCCACTCTGATCCTTTACATGCATTCCATACAATGGTGAAAAAACATTTCATTTAGCCCCTCACATGTACACAGACTTACCGTGAACAGATGCAGATGAAAACAACAAGAAGAATTAATAGCACAAGCCCTGCGATGGCACAGGTAATTATGATTCTCTGTTTGCCTTGTATCTGCACCTCCAGATTTAGGTACTCACACCTGGAACCAATGTAACCGATCTGACACCTGTGACAAAGAACATAAAATGTGTTCCTAACTTCATTTTCGTGTGCATTTTTCTTGCAAGGCATCTGTTCGTCTACTTCTTTAACATGCTCGGACGGAACCCTGGAAGCATTGTCGTGCAGGAACATAAATGACAGGGCTTTCTTTTGCACCCTGTTGTTTGTTCAAATAAACATCCTTGTTGTCAGTCTCTTGTCACTGTCTCTGCTCCACAGCTAAATGATTTTGCAGAATGAGTTTTGTTTAAATTACATTTTGCACAACTTGAAAACAGAGTTTGGAAATCTGCGCCTCACCTGCAGGACGGTGCATCCTGGTCCTTTATGTAACGACACTCCCCATGGATGCAGTAATACTCAAGTTCCTCTGGGCATTTTGAGAAGTGCCCATTCGACTGTCCAGTATCTACTGTGTCTTCTGGAGGAGTAAAATGTGTAGAAAGGGGAGGAGTCTAATCATTGTTAGCAAGCACGTATAGAAGCTCATAAATACAGAAATTAAACAGTGAAATTTGTCAGTTGTTCTATATAAAGCATAGTTTTGGTAAAATAGTCTACTCTATGATAATGCCTTTTTCCATCAACAATGACCCTGTCACTATTACTAGGCATAAAATAGTCCCTTATGAAAGCCCTCACAAAACTACAACTTGGGCTGGCAGCTGGAGTTTGTTCCCTTTAACCTGAGATAGATGAACTGTGTTCCCTTGTTACTTGTCTTTTTAAAGCTACTCAAATGCTTATATGTAGCTATGGAGTCCTCCAACTGTACTTATGGGGAAAATGTGTATGTTGCATATCGAAGCTATTTTCTTGATCTTATGCCAAATCAAAAATATACTTTGTTTAGAAAAAGCAAAAAGCCTTTTTTGTTTATGGTTTGAAAAAGTAAAGCACAATTTTTTTAAATTAATATTACTATTTATCAAATTCTAATGTCACTGTCACTGACTGTATACAAAACAGATAGATAGATATATCGAGCATATAGACACTGAGTGAAGTCAGTGTGTTAGTGCCTTAACCCTGCGTTCTTTCTAATGGTCAACAGGGGGAGACTATTGCGACTGCCAAAAGAAATCAGATTGTAGAGAAGTCTTTGAGTAAATTATCCTATGTTTGATTTTGGAAAACATTTTCTTAAAGGACTCAATGTTTTAGAGCCTTCTTCAATACAGCATAATGCTTATTTTGTAAATTATGGTTCCAATAAAATGGTCACCGCTGAGAAGTCCTAGTGCCATGTGCTGTTCTTGATTTCAGGTATCGGTTGCACTAAAACAACTTCTAAGAATAAGCTGTATCATTACCTAATCAGCTCAGTCTCTACTTCAAATAGCAAGACCAAGTTCAAGTTAGAGCCCCCGCTGCTTTTCAGATTTCTGTCTTTCATATCGCCTGCAGTGTATGGCTAACACAAAAAGATTTTCTTTATGTGCCTAGTATATAGGCCTAATGGAGATTCATCAGTCACCTTGTCTAAATGAACAAATGTACCAAAAGCAAATGAGCTCATTTCTCCAAACGTCTATTTCTGTAACTGTGTCATGATCTTCTTTGATGTACTCCCTCACCTTCTGGCATGGCATGATGTGTGTATATATAGACTGTTTGTAACACGATCCACTGAAGAACTGTGCAATGCATGCCAGGAAAGGCCTGGTGTCATCGAGATCTCATTAGACACGTGTTTCTACAACTTGAGCTCCAGAAGAGCTGGGATGCTCTGCAACATCTCAATAATAACTGAATATGATGATTTGCAAATCTCCTTATTCCATATTTTATTCATGATAGGACATAGAAAACATATCAAATATACGAACCGAAAATCCTTTAAGAAAAAGTTTGGCTCATGTTGAATTTGATGGCTGCAACGTCTTTAAAAAGTTGGGACTGGGCCATGTTTAACACCAGTCTGTAAACAATTGCAGGACTTTTGGAAAATTAATGTTTTCCCATTCTTATCTGATATGAAATTATAGCTGCTCAGCAGTCCTGACTCGTCTTATTTTCCATTTCATGATGCATCAAATGTATTCAACCGGTGAAAGATCTGGACTGCAAGCCAGTTTAGCCCCTGAGCTCTTCTACCATGATACTTATTGGCCTTGGGGTTAGGGTTAGGCTTTGCTTTGGAGACTTTTGACCTGAATGCTGATCATAACCAGATTGTCTTTGTCCTCCTTAATCCGGAGCGCACCGTGATCCTGTTTTACAAAAAGAATTTCAAATTTTAGTTTGTCCGATGACAAAACAGTTTTCCACTTGCCCTCATTTTAAATGAACTTTGGCTCAGGCTGCATTTCCGGATCATGTTCATGGCTTTTTCTTTGCACGACAGAGCATTTGTAGTTGGCACGGTGAACTGTGTTCGCAAACATTGATGTCTTGAAGTGCTCCTGAGTCCGTGCCAAAACGTTCCTGCCAGAATCATACCTGCTTTTAATGCAATACTGATTTTTAGCCTTGTCTCTTACCCACAGAGAATTCTCCAGACTCTCTGATTATTTTGATGATATGATAGTATTATTACCGTAGATGATGAGATATTATATTAAAAGTGCTTTGAGAAATATCATTCTAAAATTGTTCCACATTCCACATTTATTTTGCAGATTGGTGAACCTCTGCCCAACTTTACTTCAGAGAAACTCTGCTTCTCTCATAGGCTCTTTTTAAATACGTTATCGTGTTAGTGACCTATTGCCAGTTAACCTAATTAGTTATAAAATGTTCCTCCAGCTGTTTTTTTTTACCACTTACTTTTCTGGTCTTGCGTTGCCCTCATGACAACTTTTTTAAAACATGTTGTTGCCATTAAATTCAAAATGAGCTCATATTTTTCACGTAGTAGTAAAATATTCCAGTTAAAAGACCCGACCTATTTTCGAAAATCCTCCTGTTTTTGTTCACATTTTTGAAGCATCTCAGCTGTTTTGGAAATCAAGTCGTTTCATTAAAATTCTTTACAAAATGAAATGGGATTCTGTTTTCATCCTCTCCCTTTTCTCTATCACAGACACACATGATAAAACACACCCTGACAGCTGCTGGTTAGCCATGGAGATGAACTTCTGACCACCGGCTTCATATAACACTTCTTCTGAATACCGCTATCTTTACAAGCGGCTCTCATGACATTATCTTTGAATATTGAGCTTGTAAAACAATAGTGCTGCGACATCAATGAGAGCGCTTCACTTGTTAGCTGAAACACGAGACCCAGTTTGCTGTCATGACCTCAGTGCTGAAAGGAAAAATCTCATGTTACGAAGTTTAAAGAGATAGTCTGGGAAGTAGCTTTATTTGCTGTCTTGCCAAGAATTAGCCGAGATGGGGCAACCGATACCACTGTCACTTCGTGAGCTATAAAGCTAACACTAGCTGCTGGTTTGCTTAGCAAAAACAGTGGAAAACAGGACATAGCTAACCCGAACAAGTCTTTAGACCCTATAAAGCTCACAAACTAAAATACTACATCTTTAAAAAAAAAAAAAAAAAAAAAAAATCACAAATCAAAGTGAAAAGCGGTGCTAAATAGTGTGTTTCAACCTGTTTCTGCGCTTTCTGCACACCTTAGCTAAACAACGGTGATTGTTTTATAGATATACAAACATAAAGTCAGTTTTCGTTTCAAATCTTAAATAGAATCTATTAATTTCAATTCTTTTCAAACTATTAATTTGGACTGATTAGAGCTTTTCTATTATATAGTCAGCTATTATTTTAATTTTATTTTGTGTCTTTGTCTTATATTCATTTTAGTTTCTAGAGTGAAAGTGTAAGTTTTAGTCTTTTTTAATCATTATTGTATAGAGAGCATAATTCAGATGCGAGAATAAGGAAATCAGTAAAGGTATTACAATAAAAACTCTGAACTTTCTGGAAGAAGTTCACATACAGTCTTCTAGATATCCACAGTCTCAGTAAGCATGCCCATCAATGTCTTATCAGCAAAGTCGTAATAAAAACTTTCACCAACAGATACTAAAACTAAGCATAATTCCTCAATATTTTAATTTTATTTTAGTTAGCTTCCTAAGTTCAAAAAATTATCTAAATTAATCTACATTTTTCCAAAAGAATACACACACACACACACACACACACACACACACACACACACATATATATATATATATATATATATATATAAATTTGTGCTATTGTACTTAATCCCATATAAAATACAACACCCATGTTATGGGTCTTATCTAGTGGTTTATTTCCCACCAAAATCCATCTAACAATGATGAGATTGTAGTTAAAATTTGCTTAATTACAGAAATTACTCAGCAGAGGTTGTTGACAATACCTCTGTACTAAGGGTTGATACATTTTATATTGTGTATTGTATATTGTGACTCCTCAACAATATACTTTTCCAAGTGCGTCTCATACCAACATCTGTCTTACTACTTCTACTACTGAAAAAGTCAAACCAAAGAAGCAGTTATGACACCGTCACAGAAACGCCCCTTACACCACCTTTCCATATCTACCTGTGCAATTGTCTCTGTTGCCATGGAGATGACAGTCGGACACAGTTCCAGTGGGAGGCGCGTCTGTGGCATTCCACTCTGCCAGGCAGTATTTGCATAAGGTCAGAGCTGCAGCCAGGAGCACAAAGAAAAAGCCAATCACACACAACCAACGTACGTACACCTGCACATTTTAACCAGCGTTTAGCCGCATTGTACTTACAGGATCTGGACAAGCGATGACAGGACTTTTACTACTCTATAAACATCCTCTATTACTTTTCCTGGTGACTGTATTGGCAAATAATTGTTTTTTTAATATATAAACCTATAGAAAGGACAACGTCACAAACAGTTTCCAAAACTTATATTAAGGGAAGCCTGATTTGATGATGATTAATGATCACAGAAGATGCACATTCCTTGTGCATGAGCTTTTCATTTAATCATTAACCACAAGTGAAGCTTGTTGTACAAGTACAATTATTCCACAAGTTGCTTAGCAGGGAATTGCCCGTAAACTTGTTTTGGCTCCATTATTTTGATAACACATGGTTTTAATACCAGTCAAAACAACATAGAGCTATTCAAATGACATTTTAAAAACTAGATATGAGAAGAAAACTGGAACCGTACAGGACATGCATTTAAAACAAGAACTATTTACATATCATTTTAATATTATCCTTTTGGGTTTTTAGCCTTCTGCTTATGGACAATGAGAAAGAAAGGTGAACAAGAGAAAAGATCTTACCGATTACTATTCCTACATAGAGTCTGTGCACTTTGGCCATCTCCTCACTTGATAAAAGTTTTCATCCAGTATATTAAAGTTCAGTGTCATTAACAAACAAAAGTCAAACTGGTTCAGTCCTTTTTCAGGGGTCAGCGACCTTTGAAAAAGGTGTGGAAAGGCTGTGGAAGTTCCCCAGTGGCGTGTCGTATTGTGGTTCTTCATTGATGGTGGCTAATTTCATAATCAACCGGGAAAGCTTGAAGCTATAACCAAAGCACGTCAGCTCGCTGACTCTTCTGTGACTGACCTGAGCTGCTGGGTGTGAGAACAGAAAAAGGAGGCGGCACTGAAACCGAACTCCGATCCCCGCCCATACTTTTAAAGCTTTAAAGGAGAAGACAACTCCATTCAAGCTATTCTGTTTATTTTCTCTGTAGAGAACAAGTTTGCCTTTATACCTGAGGTTTGCTTTCTTAAGAATGAAATGACAGGTGGAGCATTCATTGACAATACGTGGCACCGGTTTAGCTTAAAAGGACTTTAGATTCTATTTTTAATTTTCCATTCCACTGTCCTTCCCTCATTCCCTGGAACAGAAAGCAGATAAATGTAGGTGGATGGGTAGGAGATAAAATCTGATAGTAAAATAGATGGCTGGAACAGCTGGATTCCTTGCAGGTCTGCACTGATTCCTGGAGAGTTTAAGGAAAGTGAAATAAAGTTTAATGTGGAAGTTTAAATGGTTGTAGCAACCTTCTTTTACTTACACTTTAAACTTCAGTTACATCATTTCATTTATTCATTTTACTACTTTTAGGTGAAAACTTTCGAAGAAAAACTAGAGTAAAGAGTTTAAAAAGAAAATAGGAGTAGTGGAGAACCACTCGTCATGGGAAGTCCCTCGGCTTATCGAATAGCATAGCTTTAAGGTCACATGATCCAAGCCTAACTATCAGCTTTATGAAAAGGGAAAGTTTTATTTCTAATTTTAAAAAGTGGAAAGGGTGTCTCAAACACAGCTGTTCACAGTAGAGAGGCCCAGTAGCTGAAGGCTCTTCCTTCCATTGTACTTTTGTAAACTCTAAACCTGACCAGAAGATGGTGTAATTTCACACTTTTCCACACAATAAGTGGAGTAGAGCTGGAGAGCCAGAATTCTTGCTGATTGCCAGGTGTTCAAATACTTATGTGCAGCAGTGCTATACAAATAATGTCATAAAAATTATACAATGTGATTTCTTAAATTGTTGTTTAAATGCTGTGTGACACAGTGGGAATGCACCGACAATGTGAATTCCAGACCCCTCCATGATTTCATGATCGCAGAGTGTTCAAATACTTATGTTGCTCACTGTATATGTTTGAGTCTATATGCATAACTATGACCCTGTATGGATGAAAGAAAATCCAAAATCAATTCAAACTTTTGCACCCATTTCTTGTTTTTGTTAAAGTCATTGAAGATGTGTAATGCTACACAATCATTCGACATTGGAAAAGAAAAAAGAATAGTTCAAAGAAATCATTAAAATCTCAAAGTTATCATGATGCTCGTGCCGTACTTTAACTCCTTTTATCACATACAGTTTAGAATCACCAATTAACCTAACAGGCATGTCTTTGGACATGAGAGGAAGGCGGAGTAGTGCAGGCACAAGGAGAGGATGCTAACTCCATACAGAAAAGCTCCAGCTAAGATTCAAACTAGGAGCCTTCATCCTGTGAAGGCATAGCACTTCACCACCTTGCTACCTTTAAATCAGTTTAAACTGGATGTTTAAGCTGGAGACATGAACTTGCAGTCAGTAGCTACAGTGGCTTGCAAAAGTATCCCCCCCCCCCTTGAACTTTTCCACATTTTGTCACATTACAGCCACAAACATGAATCAATTTTATTGAAATTCCACGTGAAAGACCAACACAAAGTGGTGCACACATGAGAAGTGGAACGAAAATCATACATGATTCCAAACATTTTTTACAAATAAATAACTGAAAAGTGGGGTGCGCGTAATTATTCAGCCCCCTGAATCAATACTTTGTAGAACCACTTTTTGCTGCAGTTACAGATGCCAGTCTTTTAGGGTCTGTCTCTACCAGCTTTGCACATCTACAGACTGAAATCCTTGCCCATAAAACAATTACCAGCACTTCTAAAGCTCAGCGCTTAACACCCATTTTATTTTTCTTTTCTTTTTTTTATATAAACATATATCTACACACTGACTGTAAATACATGCTTACATATGACAATAGTGTCTTAAATCCTTTTTCTCTGACACTCTGAAATCCAGACTTCTGCCTAAATAAACTGCAAAGATACACGAGAAATGAGAACTAGGAGTTTATTTAAAGCATCTGCAGAAACCGCTAAAGCCTTGTTTGCAGAGCAAAGGTTGCTAGCAAAGGAGGCATCATGACAGGAGAGCTATTGAGACTCGCCCATGCAGCGACAGGAAAAGGAAGTGATAAGGCAGAGCTGTCTCGTGACTGGCTAGACTTGTTTTAGGGAGATTAAACAGTTTCTTGAACAATGTAGACATATAAAAAAATAGAAGTTCTGTTTTAAAATAAAATATACAAATGAACTGACTAAACAGACAACGACTTGTGTAAACTGTCGCGCACAAATACAATGAACAACATGGTTTTTATATAGTTTGTAAAGCACCTTCTGCACAGAGTGCATTTATTTTATTTTATCTAAGCATTCTCTTCAGTTGGAACATCCAAAAAGTTTTAAAAGGCTCAAAGGATAAATGAAAAGTGGCATTTTGTCTTTGCAGTTTTGAACAGGAAGACCCAGTTTCCTCTCTCTGGCTGTGTTCCTGACTTAGACTGAACATCAGGAAGCGCAGACGCCACGAGATTCCAAGGCATAATTTAGAGCTCAGCAACAAACATCCGCTTTGAAAGCTTTACAGATAATCACTGTAAGACTGTTTGGTGCAGAAATGGTGTTTTCACAGCACTTTGTAAAAGCAATTTAAAAGAAAAACTGAAAAGACTGTACGTTCACGGGATGTGCTTTAATGTGTTTCACCAAAAAATTGATGATTTACAAAACTGTGTAAAAACATTTTTAGAAAAACATGAAATTAAAATCTATTACACTATTAAAAAAAACAAAGCAAAATTAATATCTTCTTTGAGTGGGATGCCACTTGTATCCACTTTGTCTTCCACTGCAAAAGGTGCAAAACCTTTTATTCCACATTTGAAATCGAGACGTAATAACAGGCGTTACAAAGAAACAAAGCTGCACATTTTATGGACCCTGACCTTCACACTATGGCACAAGAGCGTGGTTCTCTGAAAGGGTTGCTGCCTGTGGGGACTCCAACCAGCAAGGCGTCTTTTCCTGCGTTCTGCAGACAATACTGCTGGAGCTCTGCAGCTGCCTGGGACACCTGGAAGCAGAAACATAAAAATACACTCAGATGGTACAACTTTGTAACTCACATAAAAGGATTAAAAAAACACACACACACAAATCAAGTGCAGGCCTTTTGTTTTCTAGGTTGTGCAAAACCAAAAACTGATATGTGTAACTGACACCCAGAGTTTTATTAGCATTTACAAGAGCAGATTTGACAAATTTATAAATTCCTTCATTTAAAAAAACTAAAACATTCATAAGATAATATAATGCTTATAATACAGAATACAGTGATAGTAATACAATACATAATATAAAATTATAAATAGTTAAATACATTTATAGATTATTAGGGTTGTAGTTGAGGTGGCACTATTTTAAATTGAATATACTGATTACCCAGTTTATTTTTTTTAATTAAGTAATACTTAGTAAATAACCCAAATCTTAAAATTATTCACAATAAATTGGAACTTAGTAGTAAAAAAGCTAATGCAGCTTATATTTATAATCAGAAATCTTGAACTTTTTGGATTTTTTGCATTAAAAATAATTTTTTGACTTAATGATTAATTAATGGTGTGTGTTATATTAATCTAAAGCATGTATGTATTCATTAAACTATACAGAGTGACTTTTCTGTAGTGTAATACCGTACACTAAGTGTTTTAAATAAAATAGATTAAACAATCTTATTCTAAATCTTATTCTAAAATTAATCTAGTTGCACTTTCCCAACATTCATAATGTACATATTAAACAAAATAGTTACATCAATCAACAAAAGCTAGTTTGTAGAAAGCAAGCAGTCGTGTTCTGTAAAGATGCCAGTTTTACCTTGATTCTTTCCACACTGGCCTCAAGCTTCAGTTGTTCTACCAGCCGTCGCATGTTGGATAAATTGGAATTGGAGGTCATGTTGTTTATAATTGTTTTGGGAGAGAAAAAGTCCTTGGGAAGGAAAAAGGGGGAAAAAGATGTCTCTTTAGTCTTTTGCTCTCTGCAGTTGCCTTCACTAATGGGCAGCAAATGCTGGACAGGAACAGAGTGGCCGGGTTTCTTTCCAAATGACCTCAGTGCACTCAGCTGAAGAAATAAGGAGTGATACAAACACACTGACCTCCCTGTGTACTACTAGAGACTTCATAGAAAAGTGTTGTAGAGATGTATTTTAAAAGGGAATTCAAGCTCCATTCACCCAGATTAAAAGTACTAGTATATTCAAAAAAGACTGTAGTCATTTTAATAGTGCGTTTCCTTAGAGATACAATTGAACACCCCCCCCAGGAGTAATGATATGGGTTTTATAAAATATAGCTTTTCTCAAATATGGCACAAATACATCTGGAATCTACCATTAAATATCTTTAATGATTTTCCCCCAATGAGGCTTAGTATTAAGTAGCTTTATGTACATAAAGGTTTACATAAAATGTTATCCAGTACATCTCTGTTATAACAGATGATGTCATTAGTGACATTATTAATGAATCCTTTCATTTTTGTTTCGTGTTTTCCTCTGTTGTGTTTTAAATTTCTCTCCCTTCTGTTGTTTTTGATACAGAAGCTCTTTTAATAAATTATTACTATTGTGAAAATGATTTATCCTTTTCTGTCAGCGTTGCTTGTATGCATTAGTACTGAGACTAAAATATACTCTATTTTCGTCGTTTGTTTCGAACATGTAAATAAAAAGTAAAATTAATGAATAGCTTTCAAAACTACACTGAAGACACTGAGAAGTGAGATGAAGTATAAACAAGTTTATAATAATTTACTGATGAGTAATTATGCCCCGTTTAATGCTATTTGATCATAATTAACCTCAACACACATACGTACATGTGATTTTTAAACTTCTTTAACGTTGTCTAGTTTATAGCTTTGCGCATGCGTACACCGATACCGGAAAGCGTCACGAGACGTCGTGCTTTACCTATCGCTATGGAGTAGTTACGACAACTATGCTAACTGACTGCTTCTTAATGCAGTGTACGTGCGCGCGCGTGTGTTTTACCCACGTGGCTAACGGCGGTTTCTGCGTCCTCATTGGTCCGCAGGTTATTATCGGGATTGGCTGTAAGCTACTTTTGCGGAAAGGTAAACGGAAACTTCCCCGGAGAGTCCACACTTCTGAGCGTTGTGTTCAAAACTCGGCAACAAATATGAGCTAAACGAAACTCTGAACAAAACTCAAAGCAGCCGGACTTCAGCAGACATGGTGGAGGTATTTTCCGGACGCACACTCCTGAACAAGGACGGAGAGTTTGTGGATCCTGAAGAGGCTCTGCGGAACAAGGTGGTGGGGATCTACTTCTCCGCGGGATGGTGCCCGCCGTGTCGGGACTTTACCCCAATCCTGTGTGACTTCTACACGGAGCTGGTGGAGGAGAGGGATCCTCCGGCTCAGTTTGAAATAGTTTTTGTGTCTTCTGACAAGTCAACCGATGACATGGTTGAATATTACCACGACATGCACGGAGACTGGCTCGCTCTGCCTTGGACGGATGATTACAAAAAGTGAGTTTCATAATCTAATATTTCACATTTGAACTTAACGTAACATAATCAGGTGTTTTATTTATCTTATACCTACACAGTGCAGTCTGTACAGTCTACTAGGCAGTGATCCAGCTTATGTAAAACGCTGATGCGCGTCACTGTCGAGGATTAGGTTTAAGCGACATCAAGTCCAGAGTGTTCTCTTCAAAGTGTCCTTTATTTGTTTATTTTGATTTCCAGATCACGTGATTTGAGTTATTGGAGGGTTGCGTGACTAAATCAAAGTCAGATCCGTACACCTGTGAGTGCAAACTTTTCTCTCAAACATTTTTTTCTTAAATAAAAGCAGTTATTTATTTATTACATAGCTACTTTAAAGTCGAGTATCAAGTTGTTCAGTTTCTAATCTTGGATGGAGTTGCAGCTATTCTGTTCATTTCTTTTTCTTCCCAAAGTTAAAACTGGACTCTTTGAATGTTCTGTTTAACCATACCAGTAGTGTGATTTAAATATATTCAGCAAAGCAGATGAGTATTGAAATAAAAACATCAAACATAAAAACATCCATGTGCCCTTAAGTTAGCAGCATTTGAATGCTGTATCTAAGCAAAGTGAAGCTGTTTTTCTTACATTGTGTTTAGGTGTGTTGATTAATTGCAGCCAGTAATCATCTTTTATTTGTAAAATTTGAATTTGTGAGATATCTGTAGCCACAGTTGCCATCAAACTGCGTTGTTATGTGCAAGAATCTCACATGTATTCATGGAAAACTATCAAGTGTATAATAGATTCTTTACAGTGGAAGAAGTGTCTTTTTCTAATAAAGGCGCTTCTTTGTCTTTTTGTCCTCTCGCAGTGAGTTGAAGCATCGCTACAAGATCACAGCAGTGCCCAAACTGGTGATCGTGAAGGAGAACGGCGACGTGATCACGGACAAGGGCAGGAAACAGATCCGAGACCGGGGCCTGGCCTGCTTCAGGTCCTGGTTGGACGCTGCTGAGATCTTTCAGAACTTCAAGGGTTAGGAAAATAGAGGGCCTAACGAAGCTAATAAAATCTTCCTGCTTTCCATTTCAGTGTAGCCGTCTGACAGGTCGCCAGATCACCGGACAGCTTATGTTTCTGTTAGATGAAGATCTGCTTGTTTTTAATTCATCTTCTGCCCATTTTCCCGTCAGAGGTCGAACACCAGTAGTTAAAAATGCAATTTCAATGAAACATGAGAAAGAATAATCGTATTTAGATTCCAGTAATTCTTAAGAGCTGGTCTAATGATGGTTTTGCAGTTATGACTTGGGCATAAGGAGTCAGTCTTGTAGTGTAGTGGCCATATAGTTGGAATAATGACACCGTCAGTGATTAGACTGGATTCATCTAGTTCTTTTTGCCACTGGATGTGAAATCTGCCTGTAATGTAAAGGCTTGACTGCACAACCAAACCACGACGAGGGCAGCGCTCTTATTTTTACTCCCAATACCTGAAATGGTAAGAAATGGTAGCTGATGAAACACCTCTTTATCTATGGTAAAGAACAATTGTGAAGTAGTGGGAAAGAAACTTCTCAAATCGCAGATCTTCTGTCATCCTATGCATTAACGATAAACCCTCAGGCACGTCCGATAGAGAAATTGACCATTTCATGTGACTAATTCAAGCCAGCTGCTGCCGTTAAAGTAAATGTATACAGTTAATGCGCTCTTCAAACATTTAGCCAGACTTTGCCTCTGTTAAATATGTATTTTGTTTCTATATTACTCACCTTTGTACATAAATGTAGTTCTATCTCAAGCTGCCTGTATATTTTTATATTCTGTTTTTAATGAGTTGTTAAGATGGGCTATTATTAAAAATTTAATAGAAGAAAACTATTCTGTTTTAATTATGATTATTATTACTATTTTTTTTTTTTTCAAGGTTTGATTATGTGTTGTAGTGCTGAAGAGCTGTTTGATGAACAAACAGAGCGATTCCCTTTTGCCTCATTAAACTGTGGAAAGCCCACAGGATCTGTTTCCATCGTGCTGGCACATCTACACGCATGGTCCTAATTACCTGTTTCCCTCGTGTGCGCTGACACAGCTGTTATCACTTTGTGCACGAAGCATCCAACAGACCTGGTGAATAATGATGCGTGTGCGCGGGCCATCTTCTCCAGGTCTTGTCTGCTTCTTAAAAAGAAGACAAGACCAGAAGCTCAATTCTGAGATGAATTGAGTCGAGCATCCAGCGTCTCTTCAAGGACCTTCGTCAAATCTCAGAGGACTGTGCAGACCAAAAGATCTGAGTTTATTGATGCAAGTCTTCAAGGTAACATAACTCCAACTGCCACGTTAGATGGATTATTTATTGTTAAAATATACTGCAGTTTGCATCATTATTCCTCTGGGGAAAAGGATGAAGACGGTGCATTTCCACGGTGTGCCATGTGGTGTAGCTGCAACACCATTTATGAGTGTGAAGACTGACGGTTCAGTTTCGTCTTATTAAAGGGTGTTTTCACATTTATCTGCTTATCGCGGTCAATTGATTTTTCATCCGAGTGGGAGAGATCTGAGTAATGTCTGAGTATTTATTGATCGTGTTGAGGAGTTATTAAAAAGAGAGCCACCGGCATGGGACCCCATTTACCACTGTTCGGTCTATTTATAAGGCAGTGCGGATGAATTTTATTCATTCATATAAAATCCTTATGTCCTTTGCGTGTAAAGGCCACTCATTTCCTGGTCCTCTAATGGCAACGAAAAGTAACTTTTCTTGTAGGCTACCCGTTAAAACATTTTGCAAGTAGCCAAGGATATACATCTAAGTGTGTAATTCCTTCAAGTTCAGAGGCAAACGCTGGACTCTTCTGTTTATTAGATATCTCTAGTTTCTACTTACTTGCTCATCCAAAATTGAATAAATAACTTGTATATTAATGCAGATTATGTTTCTAAAGTGTATCTGAGTACTTCGCCACCGCTGTGTATCGATACTCAACACGAGAACTACATTTTTACTCCAAAGACAACAGTTTTTGCTCCGTGCCTGTCACATGATTTGGGTCCTCAGAGAGCCCCTCGGGTCACTTGTAGATGAAGATGTGGGCTACACATTTGGACTTCTTGTTGGCCTTACAAATGAAAGGCAGTAGTGTTTCCTGCTGCTGTAACGGTGTCTTGAGTAACAAGGCTGTCTTTATGAGAGGACCTTGAGGGAGGGAGGCGGAGAGCTGGGCGGACCGGCGGACCTGCACGGAGAGAGCGCATCGGGGTCAAGTTGATCACATTAGCTGTCTGACTTCCGCTCATAACCTTCAAAATAAAACTTGTTTAAAAATATATATAGTCCCCCCCCCCCCCTCAAAGGTTGTTGCTAGATTTAACCTGCTGTCATTCAGATTATTCATCAATCAGTAAAGTTGTCGGATTTAAAAACCTGAGGCAAGTCAGTAAGATTAATAATTACATGATAGGGAGAAAGCTTTCTGAAGAGTTATATAATAGGGTGGCCAGAAAGGTATACATGGAAAGATGAATGAAAATGTAGACAAAAATTTTTTGTATTATCAGAGCTCTTGAGTTTAAAAACAAAAAAACTACAGTAGTGCCAGGAATATACAGATTGTTTTCCTGTTTTGAGCAATATCATAAGAAAAACAAAGGAATACGAACTCTTTTTGGTTTTCCAAACACACAGAACACAGAGAGCAACTAACAATGTCTTTCTCACTGAATGGACGGAATAAAAATAGTAAGGGTAAAGTTAAACAAGTAGACATTGCATGTGGGGGTTAATGTACAGTGAGATTTGATAAATATTTCATAATTTCATCTTTGAAAAAACCTCCAACCTTTCACTGTTAAACTGATTTTTACATGACTTAAGGCACAAAGAAGTAAGTGGACGACTAACAGAGGAGCATGATGAGACTTTTCACAAACAGAACGCCAGTATTTTGTACTGCAAACAAGACAACTTGAGGGGAAGGAATGGGGAAAGTTACCTTATGTTAAATGCAATTTCCCCAGTTGGCTGGGATACTTTTTTTTTTAAAATCACCATTCAATTAAAAAGCAGTAGTTTGGGACACAGTCTTCATTGCTTCATTGCTTCATTGCTTTTGTTTGTTTGTTTTTTGTTAAGTTGTTGCTGGTTTCCAGTTTCCAATCATGATGGCAACAAGCCACATCATCTCTTAATTACTAGCGGATCAGTACTTTGTTTTTAACGCTTAAGTTCAGTATGTAGCCCACTGGACTGTATTAAATAAGTCGTTTTCTTGGAAATGAAAACAACAACAACAGCATTACATTGATTTAGTGGTCATTATAATGTGTTCAAAAGTTGCAAAAATAATATCATGATTCATTTCATAAATCATGACACACTGCTCTCCCAGAAGTTTCCTTTATGGGTTAAAAGTATCAGTATCGATCAGCATCGCCAATACTGGCCCTGTATTTACAGTGGGGCAAAAAAGTATTTAGTCAGCCACCGATTGTGCAAGTTCCCCCACCTAAAATGATGACAGAGGTCAGTAATTTGCACCAGAGGTACACTTCAACTGTGAGAGACAGAATGTGAAAAACAAAATCCATGAATCCACATGGTAGGATTTGTAAAGAATTTATTCGTAAACCAGGGTGGAAAATAAGTATTTGGTCAATAAGAAAAATACAACTCAATACTTTGTAACATAACCTTTGTTGGCAATAACAGAGGTCAAACGTTTACTATAGGTCTTTACCAGGTTTGCACACACAGTAGCTGGTATTTTGGCCCATTCCTCCATGCAGATCTTCTCGAGAGCAGTGATGTTTTGGGGCTGTCGCCGAGCAACACCGACTTTCAACTCCCGCCACAGATTTTCTATGGGGTTGAGGTCTGGAGACTGGCTAGGCCACTCCAGGACTTTCAAATGCTTCTTACGGAGCCACTCCTTTGTTGCCCGGGCAGTGTGTTTTGGATCATTGTCATGTTCTCATGATCATTTTGACCCCACGGGATGAGATCTTGCGTGGAGCCCCAGATCGAGGGAGATTATCAGTGGTCTTGTATGTCTTCCATTTTCTGATGATTGCTCCCACAGTTGATTTTTTTCACACCAAGCTGCTTGCCTATTGTAGATTCACTCTTCCCAGTCTGGTGCAGGTCTACAATACTTTTCCTGGTGTCCTTCGAAAGCTCTTTGGTCTTGGCCATGGCGGCGTTTGGAGTCTGACTGTTTGAGGCTGTGGACAGGTGTCTTTTATACAGATGATGAGTTCAAACAGGTGCCATTCATACAGGTAACGAGTGGGGGACAGAAAAGCTTCTTACAGAAGACGTTACAGGTCTGTGAGAGCCAGAGATTTTCCTTGTTTGAGGTGACCAAATACTTATTTTCCACCCTAATTTACGAATAAATTCTTTACAAATCCTACCATGTGAATTCATGGATTTTTTTTTTCACATTCTGTCTCTCACAGTTGAAGTGTACCTCTGGTGCAAATTACTGACCTCTGTCATCATTTTAAGTGGGGGAACTTGCACAATCGGTGGCTGACTAAATACTTTTTTGCCCCACTTTACTTGGTATCACTTCTACTCTTAACCACGTTTCATTATCAGAAATTGTTGCTTTTAAGGATTTGTGGTTTAATTGAACAAAAATCGAATAACTAATATGAACTGGGGAGCTTTGAATAAGTGCAGGTAACTATTTTCCATTTTTAGTGCTTTTATTTTTATTTCTCTTTTTAAGCTAATGTAACTGGCTTGGATGAAAAGCTTTAGCAAAGCTTGATACATAATTAGTGCATTTTATTGTGAAGGCAGCAGGCTTCTCGTGTTCCGGTGCTGTTCTCGCTGCTCCGCGGTACAAACGCTCACACCCGCTCCTGGACAACCGAAGAGTCGTCTGTGGACCGGTGGAGGGCTGCAGGACGGTTCCGCAGCACCGGGACTAAACAAACCTCCGCTCCGCTCACAGTGGACCGGACTGACGACTGCTGGGACAAGAGGTAAGTTGTCCGCATGAGAGGACGCTGAAATACAGATGTAGCCTGTCGATAGCCGTACTGTAAAATAACAAAAGCCTAATATTTTAATAGGGAACATGTGCGGAGTTATTCTCACTTATTCTCTATCAGTGCAAATTGTTAGTTTATATTTGGATTGTCTGTAATTACAGGGTTTAGCGATCAACTTTTTGTGCGTAATTACGCCCAACTTATCAGATCATTTCCCCCCATAATGCGCTTTATGGAGATATCAGGAAGAGGCAAAGAAACGTGCAAAAATGTGTCCACAATTTTGAACTTAACTTGTGTTTGTTTTTGCAGCAGCGCCTTTTCTGACATTTAATTCATCCATCCCACACTAATATTTAATACCAATGCAGCACTAATCACTGACGGGGTCCAATCAGTGACTCATGTGTAAGGTCACTCCAGACCAAAACCACATAGAGGATCTGAACAAAACATCACCCACAATGATTTCAGCTGAGCAGACTCAGATAATAAAATTACATGCAATCAGTCAAAGTGTAGGCTTCTTTCTAACAGTATCCCACTGAATCTCACTCACTCTCTCTCTCCTGCTCTCTCTCACTCTCTCTCACACACACACACACACACATGCATACATCCAGTACACACTGCTGGAGGTTTTTATCACAGAAAAGGCTCTAATCCTGCTTAGTGCGCTTACTAACAAGTACCTAGCACCCTGAAATATTTGGTTTGCATGCTGGCAGAGTAGATTGTTTTTTTCCCTCAGACTTGAAGAGTGAAAATTGAGGGATTACTCAGCGTGTGAGTTTGTTTGGCAGGCAGACCGTGTGTGTGTGTGTGTGTGTGTGTGTGTGCTACAGGTCTGTCATGGTGTGCACTTTTTAAAAGCT